ATTTTACAAATACTCTGGAGAACCATGCAGTGCTGCTTACATTGGATGCAATCCTGAGCCACAAGCCCGCACATTCCTTTGCAACTGAACCTGTTATAGCAGAACCTTTCATCTCACATTTATTGTCTGCTATGACCCCTGCATTGTCTTGAAAACAAAGAAACACCCCATCTTTTCTTCTATATGACTTTTGTTGTCGAATTATCACTGCTGAATAGACCTTTTTCCATAGTTCTGGTTTGCCTTTTTTGTTTGTTTTTGAGACAGGGTTTCTCTGTGTAGCAGTTTTGTAGACCAGGCTGGTCTCGAACTCACAGAGATCTGCCTGCCTCTGCCTCCCCAGTGCTGGGATTAAAGTCATCATGCACCACCACCGCCCAGCATCTGGTTTGCCTTTCTTTCTTTCTTTCTTTCTTTTTTTTTTTTTTTTTTTTTTTTTTTTTTGGTTTTTACGAGACAGGGTTTCTCTGTATTGTTTTGGATGGCTTGCCTTTCTTAACTGTGCCCATCACCATGTTGCCCACACCAGCAACAGAAAGTCTATTCAGTTGTTCCTCGACTCCCTTCACAGAGAGGACATACAAAGTTGTGGCTCCTGTATTGTCAGCACAGTTGATCACAGCTCCTACCGGAGACCCAGGGAAATCTGGAATTTCACTCCAGAGGACCCACCACATCCTCACTTAGACATCTTGAACACCCAGAAAGAGTCAGAAAAAAATTGATCCTGATTTCCTGATCATCTTGCTTCTACCTCTGAGTGCTAGGACACTCCAGGCTTCACACATGCTAGGCAATTACTCCTCCATCTGAGCTGTGCACCCGGCTTAAATTCAAACTTGTAATGCTGTAGACTGGAAGTCTATACAAATGGATCACAATGATTCAGTAAAACAGAGGCAAGACATTAAACCAAAGTTAAAACTGGGCAGCAGTCATTGGGTAGTTCTCTTTGGGACAAATGTGGCCTTATGACTTCACTGTTTGCACCTGCAAGAAATATTCTTACTTAGGTGATGGCAACTTTTAAAAGAAAACTCAGTAGGAAGTCCTCTTGAATTGAGAGCCTGTAAGATGAGTTACCCAACGTGAGACATCAGCCCTCTGTTGTCTGTGTCTTCTTCAAATGAACGTCTTCCTGGGTCACTACTACCACCCCATGATCACAGTTAGGTGACAAAGAACAAAGGAAATTCAACAATCTACATTAAAGTAGTAAGGGACAACTAAGCAAAATTCGAGTCATTGACAGTCACCCAAGTTCAGAATCCACATTTAAATTCCACTTTCCAGATTAACCCCAGAGCAAACTTAAAGTGTGCTCAGTGCACACTAACTTCTACTGGGACCATCAACACAGTTACGATATAAAAAACTAGTAAGTGCTTTGTTCTCTTTGTCAATTCAGGTTTACTCAGCACCGTTATGGAAAGAAGGCAAATGTTTGTGGTACGTGGACAGGACAGAGACACATTCATTCCCTGTGGCTATCTCAGTACTGTTATGATTGCCACAGTCTAAATAATATCTCAAGTCATTGTGTGAATTACTCCCTTACCACTGAACCAGTAATAACCTAGCCACCACGAATTCAAGGTTGTTATAGGAATCAACAGCACTGCTCAAGGAGCTAGAGAGACGACTCAGCAGCTAAAAGCTCCAACTTCTCTTCCAGAGGACCTGAGCTCAGGTCTCAGCACCCATGTCAGGGGCCACAACTGCCTGTAACTACACCCTCCCCAGCCTCTGAGGACACTGCACACACAGACAGATATATAATCAAAAATAAAAACAGAGTCTTTAAAGAATGCTTCCCATTGCTCTCAGAATAAAAATGGAAGAATTAAAACTTTTTCTGTAATGTTTGGAATAGTCATGATGTAATGTAGACTCTATGTTCAAAATTAAATCAGGAGAGCCAGGCAATGGGGGCACCTGCCTTTAATCCCAGCACCCAGGAGGCAGAGGCAGGCGGATCTCTGTGAGTTCAAGGCCAGCCTGGTCTACAGAATGAGTTCTAGGACAGCCAGGACAACACAGAGAATTTCTGTCTCCTAAAACCAAAACCAAATGAAACTGAAACAACAACAAAACAAAACAAGATTAAATTAGGAGATTTACTATTTATATCAATATTCTACTAAATTATATATGCACAGGGAGACACAAATCCAGTTAAATACACAGACAGGAGAAAATTTATGTCCAAACAAAGGAACAACAAAACAAAAATTAGTGGGAAAAGAGGGTGGGCGGGAGAGATGTTTCTATTCACACACATCTTAGTTTCAAATGTGTGTGCTCTAAATTCTAGGAAAGCACACTTGTCTCACTGAAGCTGAGGCACGTTGCCTATCTCTTGTCAGTTTCCAGGGTGCATGCCCACTTGTCTGAGAGAGTCTCTCTGTCCAGCAGAAAGAAAAGGTGACACTTGCAATTTTCTTATCATGGAGACTAGCTCCAAACCAGACGGAGAGCCTGGGCCGTTCTGAGGAGGACCAAAGGGCTCTGTAGTAGGAATGTCAGGATGGCAACCACAGACCAAGAGCACACAGGCTTCTCCGTGACCATCACAGACACTGAGCTATAGCCCCGACTCTGTGAAGTGAGCGCTGCTGGCTCCCACCGCTGTGCCCAGCAGGTGCTGGTGAAGTGAGATTCACAGAGGGGAGGAAAGATGGGCATAGGGACAAAGCCCACCATGGAGGACAAGAGGACAGTAAGAATGAGAAAGCGAATATTTCATTGGACCAGGGAATCATTTTGTTGCTGTTGTGTGAGTAGCCCTTCTCAGACACCGCACAGTAAACAGCTGAGTATAGCAGGCATGTGCAGAGATCTGGGGATCTTAGGAGACACCATCAGCACCAGTTTCAGTGAGACACCTGCACAGAGCAGTGCACATGTGGCAGCATCTCTCTCATCGAAGGGGAGGAGAGACCCTGAAGCTCTTCCACCTATGACCCACATAGTCCTCACCCTGATCTAGGAAACAGTGTTGAACTAGGTAACCACCCAGCTGATTGGGTGTGTGAGCCTGCTTGCCTTTAATCCCAGCACTCGAGAGGCAGAGACAGGCAGATCTCTGTGAGTTCAAGACCAGCCTGGTCTAGAGATAGAGTTCCATCACAGCCTCCAAAGCTATACAGAGAAACCCTGTCTCAAAAAACAAAAACAAATCTTATTTTTTATTAAGGTGTATGTGTGTGTCTATATGAATATACATGATATATGTATATACAGGTATGCAGGAGTTCTTGCTTCTCTCCTGGCAAGAGATTTTAATCAGGTTCCAAGATAAAAGAGTGCCTTTCCCTTTCTCACCTCACCAAGCTTTCCCTGCCTCATTATCTCGCCTTAGTAGGAATATGAGCCCTGGGGCTTCTGCCATCTGTGACCAAAGACACTCAACGTTGTACCTCCTTGCTAAGATCAACAGACAGAATAACCTGCTTTCAAAAGGCTTTCATTAACAAAAATCAGTGAGGGGACAACGAGATGAATTGGCAGGCAGAGGTGCTTACTGACCAGTCTAATGACCTGAGTTAGACTCCTGGACCCTGGTGGTGGACAGAGAGGCTCAACTACTGCAAGCTATCTTCTGACCTCCGTGCATGCATTAGCACACATCTGACTGTACATACACACATAGGGTTAGGTAGATAAATAATCCACGCACACACTAGCACGCATCTAACTGTACATACACACATAGGGTTAGGTAGATAAATAATCCACACACACACTAGCGGGCATATGACTGTACATACACACATGCACATACACACATAGGGTTAGGCAGATAGATTTAAGTGTCAACTTTCTATTACTGGGAAAAATTAGCCCAAACAGAACACTGCTAAAGTAAACGAGGCTCTGTTAGCCATACCTATCCTTGGTCCCTGGGTCCTCTGAGTGTGACAGTCATCATCACAAGAGAAGCTGCAACTACTTAATTGCCAGAGGCCCTCAAGATTGGGCCTATTCACTGTTGAGTTTCCCTCATAGAAAGACCTTCATTTGCTATTTCAGCCACTCCCTCCTATGCCTTTTAGCAAGCAATATGCAATCCTGCCTTGTTTGAGAGCTGTGGCCCCGGGAAGTACCAGTGTATAGACTATGGAAATGTATCAGAATCAGGGGAGCTCCATCCGTGCAAGGGAAAACTTTGGCTGGATCTCAGCGGGAGCAGCTGCATAGCTGTCCTCCCAAGAAGAAAGGCTACACGGTGAGTTCCAGGCCAGCCTAAGATATACAGCAGAAAACCTGTCTTAAAAAGAAAAAAACAAACTGGGTAGTGGAGGCACACTCCTTTAATGCCAGCACTCGGGAGGCAGAGGCAAGCAGATCTCTGTGAGTTCGAGGCCAGCCCTGTCTACAGAGCGAGTTCCAGGACAGCCAGGACTACACAATGGAACCTATTTCAAAAACAAAACAAACAAAAACCAAAAACACCACAAAATTAACAAGAGGTAAGTGTGTGCATTCTATTCCTTTTTTGTTGTTGTTGTTGTTGTTGAGACAGGGTTTCCCAGGAACAGTACGGGAAGTTGCTCTGTAGACAGGCTGGACTTGAACTCACAGAGCTCTGCTTGCCTCTTGAGTGCTGGGATTAGAGATGCACCATCACCACTGGGCTAACTGTGTGCATTCTTCCTTAGGGCTAGTTTGAGTGGAGATATTCTTTAAGTACAAAATGTATACAAAGTAGTGGAAATTTAGGGCAGTAAGAGGGATTAAGCGCTAGGGAGGGGGTTTGGTGGAATGCTTGTTGTGCAAGCATTAGGATCTGAGTTCCGAATAGAATACCAGCACACATGTAAAAGTCACGCTTAGTGAGCATCTGTAGCCCAGCGCTGAGAGGAATGGAGATAGGCAGGCTCCAGGTTCTCCTTGATAGTCGGTCTAACCAACTTGGTGAGCTAAAGGTTCAGTAAAGAGACCCTGTCTCGGGCTGGAAAGATGGCTCTGGACCCTACTGAAACACGATGCAGGAAGAGAGCATGCGCACCTGGTGAAGTAAGGATGGCCTCTGTGATCCCTTGAGGGGAGGGACTCTAGGGCTCCGGGGCGGGCTGAGTGGGCGGAGGTGGATGCAGGCGGGGACCGGGAGGCGCTGCGTCTCCACGCACAGCCATACGGAGCCGCCACTGCGGAGCTCCAGCCCTGCTCCTTGTGCATCAGCCCGGAGCCCCTCGGTACCCACGCTGCACCATGGCCAAGGCCAACGATGTCTGGTCCAACCTCGGCCTCGTCTTCTGGATCGCCTGCCTCCTGCTCTTGGGTCCGGCGAGGGCGGCGGCAGGTAAGCCAGATCCTGCCTGGAGCTGTCCAGAGCAACCGAGGTGTGTCCTACCCCTGCTGGGCACCCCTCTGCCCAGCAGTCACCCAGCACTAGGGGTGTCTTCCTGCTTCCCCTCGATGCCTGTCTGCAGCACTCTGCTCTGGGAAGCACATCCATCCCGATGCTTGGGACTGGTACTCACTAGGGGGAGGGACGGGGAGCATGGATGCATGCAGGGAACCCCGGGTGGGCTGGTAGAGGTCATCGCGCCTCAGCCACCCCCAGGGAGAACCGCCCCCCTTTGCCTGCATGGGGCAGCGCTTTTGTTTTAAGATGTCGCCTTTTTCTAGAGATTTCCACCGTGATTGCGTTGGCTTAGGGGCGGCGCAGGTACTAGTCTACAGCCGAGGAGGCCAGTCTGCCATTTCCTCCCTGGGAATGATTTTTTAAAAATGGAACCTTGAACCCACAGATTCTTCCCCAGGCTCACCAGGATGCATCTCTCCGTGATGAAAGGACCAATATCAACCTTCCTACCCCATTTTAGGAGTAATAAACGACCCAGATTCGAGTATTGTCAGAGACCGGTGGGTTGTGAGCAGCTGGAGGAAAAAAACCAAACAAACAAAAGGCCCACATCATTCTTCACAGCACATCCGCCCATTGAAAGAGAGGTGGGGGGAAGAGGGGACCTGGTGTAGATCTGGGCGAATGGCAAAGCCAACCTGCGTTTTTTTGGCATGCATCAGAGGATTTTGTATGTATAAAATCACCTACACCCTCCCCAACTCCTCGAAATTCAACACAGAATTCATCTAGAAATGGACACCCTGATCCATTGGGTTATATGTGTCTAGAAGTTATGTGATTTAAATTACAAGAAATATACAACTAAATATCTACCTGTCCATCCGTTTGTCCATCCGTCTGTCTGTCATCCATCCATCCATCCATCCATCCATCCATCCATCTCAAGGCAGGGTTTTTCTGTATAGCCCTGGATCTTCTGGAACTCACTCTGTACCCAGCCTGGTCTCAAATTCAGATATCTTCCTACCATAGGCTCCCCAATGCTGGGATTAAGGCATGTGGCATCATATTAGGCAATTTTTATTTTGAGATGAGGTTTTCATGAATTGCTCAGGCTGGCTTCTAACTTTCACCCTCATGCTTCCCCTTACCCAGTGCTGGCATGAGTCACCACTCTATTCACACACACACACACACACACACACACACACACACACACACAAAACATATTTTTTCCAGTTGGATCTTATGTAGCCTAGGCTGGCTTAGAACTCCTGACCTCCTGATTTCACCTCTTTAATTCCAGCACTTGGGAGGCAGAGGTAGGTGCATTTTTGTGTTATTTAGACCATCACAGGTATGTTTGACAAGCATTTTTGGCTGCCTACATGTGCTGTGTGTTTAAAGGCCACAATAGTCATTTTCTAGAATGTTCCAGGCCTCACATGTATCATGGGAAGACATTGAAGCCCTGGAAACCTTGTAGGAAACTGGGGCTGGTGTCATCTTACTTTTGAGGATGTTGCCCATTCTTTCTGTTTTATCACTTATTTAGTTCAATGTCACTTGAGTGTACTTCAGGGTGCCCCCAAGTCCTTGCCTTGGTGGCTGGCTGTTCCCTGTATTCCTAGGCTCCATATTCACCAGGGCTCCCAAACCTAAAAGATGAATTTGGATGAGCAGAGTCACAGGGGTTGCACTGAGCCTGGTTCCTTCAGTCACACTTGGCAAAGGTCTTCACTGTCCACTTTAGCCTGGATACTGTGGGCACTTCCCAAAAGTCCAGAGGAAGAAGGAGGTCACCGTGACCCAGTGAAAAGGGTCCAGGCTCTCATGTGACCTGGGAGGCTGGTCTCAAACTGATACAGCCAAAGATAACCTTGAACTTCTAAGCCTCCTGCTTCTGCCTCCAGAGTCTTGGGGATTGTAGGTGTGTGCCACCATACTCAGTATGACGAGGTACTGGGGACAGATCTGAGGCATCCTGGGTGTTAGGTGGTCACTTTATGATCTGGGCATCAGCTTCCAATTTGTTGTTATTTGGGTGTTTTTATTGTTGGTGGTATTTTGTTCTGTTTTGAAACAGGGTCTCATTATATAGCCCCAACTAGCCTGGAATTAATTTATGAGGACCAATCGAGCCTTGCACTAATAGAGATCTGCATCCCTCTGCCTCTCAAGCGCAGAGGAGACACGCTGCACCACCATGCCTGGTGCAGCTTCCAATTTTAATCTCTTTTTAACTTTTAGTGTTTAAATTTATCTTTATGTGTGTGCACATGTGTTTCAATGTCTGTAGAGACGAGAAGAGGGCATTGGATCCCCAGGATCTTAACTACTGAGCCATCTCTCTAGCCCAGCTTCTTTTTTTTAAAAGACCATTGTGGTCTCCTCCAGGCAGGGCTAGTGGGAGTTCCTATGAGCTGAGCAACCATTTGCAACAACGTCAGTGGGTCCTCCTTCTTCTCAGCTCCAGCCAGCTGCCCCCTGATTCCATTTCCATGGCAACCTATCTGCGTCAGCCCGATCTCCCTGCAGATGCAGGATGACAATTAACATGCAGCTTAGTATGCCTGCCACCTTAGAGCCTCACTCTGGTCCTTGTTCCTCCTCCACTTGAGTGGGAGGAAGGAGGGGCTGGGTGGTGGTGGTGGTGGTGGGGAGACAGGTAAGAGCCCTTGAGGAAAGGGACATGCTGCCTGCCAACTAGAGGGAGGACAAATAGCCCCGGGGACTAGCAAAAGTAGCTCTTTCCTTTTGTATTATGTACTTGCCTGGGTGGTATGACAATATAGCTGGAAATGGGGTTGTACAGATGCCTCAGAGGGTGGTAAAGGTGCTTGCTGCCAACACTGAAGACCTGAATTTGATTCCTGGAACCCATATATTAGATGGAGAAAACTGACCTCTGCTACATGGCCATTGTTATGCACACATGCACACGTATGTTTGAGAGCGCACAGACATACTCGAATGCATGCACACACATGTGCCCCCCCCCCAAAGATGAATAAGTAAGTGTTCAAAAAGAGTCTATTATGTCAGGGAATTTATGGCAGCAGGGGCCATGGCAGCTGGTCTCATTTCATATATAGTCTATGAGTTTGAAGCCAGACTGGTCTACATAGAGAGTTCCAGTACAGCCAGGATTCCATAGAGAGATCCTGTCTCAAAACTAAACTAAATCCCACAATGTTGGCCATATTAACCTTCACACACACACACACACACACACACACACACACACACACACACACACACACACACACTAAACATATTTTTCCAGTTGGATCTTATGTAGCCTAGGCTGGCCTTAGAACCTTCAAGCCTGTGGTATCTTGGATAGTAGTTGTGGCCCATGCCTTTAGCATCTTGACTCAAACAGCTTTATAACTCAACAAATGGATTTGAAGAAAAGGGATTCATAATAGGAAGATGGGGGCATAGCAATAGAAAAGACTGAAGCCAAAGTCCCCAGTCGGGACTGGGAATGTTGTGAGGTAAACAGGGGCACATTGGCAGATGAACGCCTCTCCTGGTTCTCCTGAAGACTCCGACAGGTATCTTGTGAACTCACTCTGAGGAGGAACATGTCCATGCTAGGTAACCCCAGCACCTGTGGGAGTGGGGCACACAGGAGGTGCTCAGCCAGTAACCCGCAGGTGAACAGTCTTCTGCGACAGTGCCAGGTGGCCTCAACCCTGTGCCACATCTCCCTTTCCAGCTATACACATGGCTCAGAAGTACCACTGAACACTTACCATACAATGTGTGTGTGTGTGTGCACATGTGTGCACATGCACGAGCATGTGTGTGCATGGGTATACACAATGGTGCACGTGCATTCACGTGCATGCTCCTGTATGTGGAGGTGAGAGGTGACCTGGGATGCCTTCCTCAGATGCTGTCCACCTCTGGCACTGCCTCGCACTAGCCACTAATAGCATATGGTTGTGATTAAACACTTGGCTTTTTCGCTAATGTGACTTTGAGACCTAATTCTTAGTTTTAGTTAAATTTAAACAATCACAGCAGACTCTGGAGCCTGCTGATTCCCTTAGATTGATGGGCTCACAAGCCCTGGAAATCCTCCTGTCCCTGCCACCCCAGTCTAGGGACAGGTATGCCTCAACAAGCACTCTTATCCACAGAGCCATGTCCCCAGCTCTTTACTGCGTGCTAAGACTTTTGCTTGTACAATACTGAAGCAGCTGACCCTTATCCTCAAGGAAATCAAGGTATACTGGGAGACATGAAGAAATTTTTGTTCAGGATGGTGGTATGTCAGTGACAGTAGTGTGCCCAACCTGTCAGGAGAGCACTGAGGGATCAGGGCATGGGAGAACTTCCTAAAACTTACTGTGGGACAGAAGGTAGGACTGGAATTCTTTTTATTTCCGGGTTTGATTTATTTTCAATTTTCAGTAGAGTGTTTGTATACCCAGGGATCAAACTCAGGTTCTTAGGCTTGACAACAAGTGCCATTGCCCTCTGATCTAGCATATACAAAAGCCCTGAAGTCAGAAGGACCAAAGCATCCTGGGAACTGGGAATGCTTTATTTTTTAGACAGGGTCTCACTTTTTAGCCCTAGCTGGTCTAGAACTCACTATGTAGACCAGGCTGGCCTTGAACTCACAGAGATCCACTTGTCTCAGCCTCCTGAGTGCTGGGATTAAAGGTATAAGCCACTGTGGGCCTCCTGGAACTGCAAGAGTTAATTAAAGTGGCTGGCTGCCAGGTGGAAGTTTTCCAGATGTGAATCTAGACCCCCAAAAGAAAGTTCCAAGATTACATTAGATCGAATGGTAGAAGCTTGTTGGGACAAGGAGAGGTAGGACACAGATCTGGGCCAGGAGCAGAAAGGCCGATGACTGCATGTGAGACCCCTGGTAATGGGATAGAGTGGTGATGTAGAGGAGGGAGGGGTGTCCGGGAAAAGAGAAAATCAGGGGTCTGTGACTGGTGTTTGGGACAGCTGACTTTTTTATCTTTTAAAGCAGACTTTACAGGCTGGCTACAAATTCATTCTGTAAGTGAGTATGGCCTTGAACTTCTGAACTTCCTATTTCCATCTCCAGAGTGCTAGGACTATTGGAGTTTGTCAGCATCATTCATGGAATGGGAGAGCTGGAACCCAGAGCTTCATTCACTCTAGCCAAGCACTCTACCTGCTGAGCTATATACAGGGCTCCTGACTTGACCCCAGCTGGCTCTTTTTACCTTAACAAGAAGTGGAGAGAGCAAAACTTCAGAGGGACCCAACCACCTACGGGAAATGGAGCCCTGAGCAAACAGATACTTTGTGTGCCTGCGAAGATTGACCACTAGCTACATTGTTGTTAAACATGTGGGGTGTGGTGCAGTGGCTGAGAAACACAATGCTTAGTTTAAGTATATGTAAGCAGCCACAATAGGTTAATTTACACTTAGTTACATGTGGTTACAGCAGACAGACTAGAAAGGGAATATGCATGTGCTTGTAATCGGAGCACTCTAGAGGGGGAGCAGGAAGATTGGCCCAAGTTCAACACCAGTCTGGACTATGTAGGTCTGCCTCTGCCTCCTGAGTCATCAATGGGATGAAAGGCATGCACCACCACTGCCCCGCTCTGTTCTGTTTCTTTAGCTGGAGTCTCACTATATAGCCCAAACTGACCTTGAACACAGACATTACGTAGCTCGGGGTAGGCTCAAACATTCAATCCTCCTGGTGCTGGGATTACTGGCATACCCAACAATCTTAGTTCCATTTTATTATTAGTTACTATTGTATATCTCCTATTGTGCCTGATTTAAAGTTCACTATGATTGTATGTATGAATGAGTGAATGAACAAACAAGGAAGAAAACAGCATATATTGACTTTGGTGCTGTCTTTGATCTGATTTCAGACATCAAGTTTGGGTCTTGGTAAGGATCCCCTGTAAATAAACAGGGACATTCTGTAATGCTACATTTATGGGGGGGCAGAGGAAGACTTGGGGGAGGTGGCTTTCTTCTTTGACCTGGGAATTAAATTCATATCGTCAGATTTGGTGTGACAAGTCTCCTCGCTGTCCCCACTGTTATCGTTGATGATTGGAATAGCAGCTGAAGGCCTTTCTGAAACCTGGCCTGCATATGTCTCCTAGGTCTCTATAACCTTAGTCTTACTACTGATGGTCCTGCTACCATTGGCACAGAAGTGACCATCTCAGCCAGCCTAGCGGTCAAGGACAATGGCAGCCTGTCCCTGCCTGCAGACACCCACCTCTACCGTTTCCACTGGTTCCACACACCACTGGTACTCACTGCCAAGACTGAGAAGAATCTAACCTCGACCATCCATGTGGTGGGCAATGTGCCTGGGGACTTCCCAGTCACTGTCTGGGTCACTGCTGTTGACTGCTGGATGTGCAAGCCATTAGCCAGGAGTGCACTGATCCTCCCCATCAAAGGTGAGAACCTTTCATGTTTACCTGTTTGCTTTCAAACTCTTCCATGGCGTGCAAGCGCTTCACCACTGAGCTATACCACCAGACCTGCTTTCAAGTCTTGTGCATGTGTGTTTGTATATGTGCGTGCCTGCGTGCGTGTGTGTGTGTGTGTGTGTGTGTGTGTGTGAGAGAGAGAGAGAGAGAGAGAGAGAGAGAGAGAGAGAGAGAGAGAGAGAGCACCTCTGGCATTGTTCTTCAGGCTGCATCCACCACACCCCCTTTTCTTTTTTAGGAAGAATCTCATTATCCAGCTCATAAATTAGACAGGCTGGCAGCACTGGGATTATGTAATTGGCATTTTCTTTGGACTGACATCCATTTCCCAAGTAAAGACACTTATTATTAATTATGAATGCTTGCCTTAGCTTAGGCTTGTCCCACTAGCTCTTTTAACTTAATTTAACTGTTTCCATTCTTCTACATTTGCCTTGGGGCTTTTTACCTTTCTTTCATTCTGTGTGCCCTGTTTTCCTGCTTCTTCCATGACTGGCTGGTTGGCCCCTGGTGTCTCGTGTGTTGTCTCCTTTTTTTCCTCAAGCCTAAATTTCTCCTCCTACTTACTCTCCCCTGCCAGAAAGTCCCACCTATTCCATCTCCCTCGATACTTGCTGTTCAGCTTTTTACTAGACAAGTTAGGTAGGCAAGGTAAAACAGAAATACATCTTTAAATAATTAAACAAATGCAACATATCTTTACATAGTTAAACAAATATTCTGCACAGCAGGATTACAAATATAATCCACCACCATGCCAGCTTTTTTTTTTTTTTTTTGGTTTTTAGAGACAAGGTTTCTCTGTATTGCTTTGGAGGCTATCCTGGAACTCACTCTGTAGACCAGGCTGGCCTTGAACTCACAGAGATCCGCCTGCCTCTGCCTCCCAAGTGCTGGGATTAAAGGCGTGTGCCACCAAACCAGACCTTTTAAATGTGGGTTTTGGGGATCAAATTAAGGTTCTCAAACTTTCAAAGCAAGTATTTCATTGACTGAGCCATCTCCCCTGCTACCACAATCTTGGTGCAGAGAAAAATACCCAGCCTTGATAATCAGCACTGATCAAACCAATGCAATTAAGCATGTGTTCATTAAGTTAAAAAGAATCAGAAAATAGGGCCAGCAAGATGTTTCAGCAGGTAAAGGTGTTTGCTGCAAAGCCTAAGGACCTGAGTTGGATCCCCAGGACTTACATAGTGGAAAGAGAGAACCCACTCTTGCAAGTTACCCTCTGCCCTCGACATCCATGTCATGGCACAGATGCACACACAGACAGACAGACACAAACATGCACACACCCACCCATCCCACACACACACACTGAATAAATAGGTAAATAAATGTAATTAAAAGTTTGTTGAAAACAAAAAAGGACTGGCCGGGTGGTGGCGCACACCTTTAATCATAGTACTCGGGAGGCAGAGGCAGGCGGATCTCTGTGACTTGGAGGCCAGTCAGCTGTGAGTTCCAGGACAGCTGGGGCTACACAGAGAAACCCTGTCTTGAAAAATAAAAAAAGGCTTAGTGGTTAAAGACATTTGTTCCTCTTGAAGACAACTCTGATTCAATTTCCAGCATGGACACTCTAGCCCAAGGCGATCCAATGCCCTTTCCTGACCTCCTAAAGCACTAGGCACACACACTCATACACATAAAACAATTTAAAGAATAAAATAAAGAATCAGGGACTAGGAATAGTTGGGCAGTTACGAGGACTGGCTGCTCTGGTAGAGGTCAGAGCCTAGCTCCCAGCACCCACCTGGGGCTCACAGTCCAAATGAATTTGCCTTCAGGAAATGAGCCTTCATTTAGGCAATGCTTTATGTACAAGATGACAGTAATGGAACAAAGATTTAAACAAGTAAAACCCACAAACCTTAGGGGACTGACTGAAGACGCTGAAGTAATTTGTGTGCCTTTTTCAGGAGTTGGGGGAGGGAAAAGGTCTTGCTAGAGATCTCAAGCTGGTTTTGAACTCAAGAAGATCCTCCTGTCTCAGCCTCCCCAGTACTAAGGCATGTGCTATGACACACAACTAATGTATGTAACTATTTGAAAAAATTCTGTACTTACACCTATTAATTTAGTGAGGGTGTGCAGGTATGTGGGTACCTGTGCTATGGTGTCTATATGGAAGTCAGAGGACAACTTGCAGGAGTTGATTTTCTCTTTCTCCTCTGTGGGACCTGGGGATTGAACTCAGACCTTTAGACTTGATGGTAGGTGCCTTTACCTATTGAGATGGCATCTCAATAGCCCCAACTTATATAATCATTAATCATGACCTTTCCAGTGAGTCTATAATGTTCTGAGTGAAAACACCCATGTTTGTAAAAGTATATAGAAAGTAATACAAGTATAGAAAGTAATACAAGTATAGAATTGCATAAAATTGTATAAAATCTGCTAATGTAAATGCATGCAGTTGCCACAGAGGCCAGAAGAAGGCACCAGATACCTCAAAGCTCCAGCTACAGATAACCTGTGAATCCATTGTAGATGCTGGGATCTGAACTCTGGTCGTCATAACAGAGCACCAAGTGCTTTTATCCACTGAGCCATTTCTCCAGCTCTATCCCCCACTATGCTTCTGGTGTTGGGGATGGAACTCATAGCCTCCTGTTGTTAGGCAAGCGCCTCACTTCTGAGCCACATTCCCAGCCCCTCCTACATCCTTTAAACTCCGGATGCCGCACGGTGTCTGATACAATGTAAACACTATGTAAATAGTTGTTATGCTATATTTCTTAGAGGATATTAACAACAGCAAAGATAGTCTACATGTGTTCAGTTCTGATGCAAATTTATTTTGAGACAGGACCTCATGTAGCCCAGGGTGACCTCCAATTCACTGTGTAGCCAAGGATGGTTTTTAACTCTTGATCCTTTGTCTTTCTCAGAGTCTCTTGTGGGAAACCTAGTGATTACTCAAAACTCCTCCGTGTCTTGGCCAAACTCCTACATCACCAAGAGAAGCCTTAGATTCTCCTTTCTCCTCCATGACCCCAGTGACTTCTTCAAGTCTGCTTCCTTCTTCTACCGATGGGACTTCGGAGACGGGTATGCATGTCCCCTCCCAGGGTCTCACTATGTACCCTTGGTTGCTCTGGAACTCATTATACAGACCAGGGTGGTCTCAAATGCAGAGATACACCTGCTTCTGCCTCTCTAGGATTAAAGATGTGGGCCACCAAGATCAGTTGTTTACTCTTTTTAAAAATATTTCCTATCAGGCAGTGGTGGCATACAGCTTCAGTCCCAGCACTCAGGAGGCAGAGGCAGAGGCAGAGGCAGAGGCAGAGGCAGAGGCAGAGGCAGAGGCAGAGGCAGAGGCAGAGGCAGAGGCAGAGGCAGAGGCAGAGGCAGAGGCAGGTGGCTATCTGTAAGTTCGAGGCCAGTCTGGTCTACAAAGAGAATTCCAGGACAGCCAGAACTATGCAGAAATATTTCCCTCTCTTTGTCTCTGTGTGTGAAGTTCAGAGGACAGCTTGGGGGTGTTCGTTTTCTCTTTCCACAGCATGAATCCCCGGGATCAATCAAACTCAGGTCATTAGACTTGGTAGCAAGTACCTTGGCCCACTGAGCCATCCTATCAACCTCATATTTGTAGTTTTAGTTGTTCTCGTTTTTTTAAGCTTTGTTTTTATTTTTCTTAATCATATGAATATGTGGTCATGACTGTGTATGGATATGTGCATATGAGTGTCAGGTCCCCATGGAGGCCACAGGAGGGTGACAGATCCCCCAGGGTTGTGAGCAGTCCAACAAGGAACCAACTGGGGTTTTGAGCTGTCCAGCAAGGAACCAACTGAACTCAGGTCCTTTGCAAATGCATGGTCTTAACCAATGAGAGATCTTTTCAGCTCTAAGAAAGACTGAGAGCCTGGTATGGTGGCACAGGCCTTTAATTCCAGCACTCGGGAGGTGTGGGCAGGAGGATCAGGACATGAACGCCAGCCTGGGCTACAGAGCATGTCCAAGGTTAGTCTGGGCTCATAAGACTCCACTTCAAAAGATAAAAACAAACAAACCAAAGTGTAGAAAGCTAGAACCAACAAACTCAAATTTAAAAGCTATGGGTTTTTGTTTGTTTTGAGTTTTGAGACAAAGCTTGTCTGTGTAGCCCAGGCTGGCCTTGAGTTTTAATATCATACCTCAGCCTCTCAAATGCTGTAAGTACAGGTGTTCCCATGATGCCTTGCTGGATTCTCTTCTGAATTCCTGGAAGGGGAAGAAGTCATGTCCATGTCCATTCTCCTTGTCATCGTATAGGACCTTGCTGTTCACTGACAACCCTGTGGCCTATTACAACTATTCAAGTGTTGGAACCTTCAAGGTGAATGTCAGGGTGGTGGCAGAATGGGAGCAGAAAAAGCCGGATGCCACGAAGGGCATCGTGCAGAAGAGCGGCGACTTCTCAGCGTCCTTAAGGCTCCGGGGTAGGTTTCCCTCCAGGTTGGCTATACCCGAGCCCCAGACAACAGTCCTTCCAGATGTATGTGATTCCGGGCCCACATCAGGCTGCGCTTGAAAGAATATTCCTGGAGCCATCTCCTCTGTTAATGTCTGCTCAAGAGAGGCTACTCAAGGCCACAGACAGAGTCACACAGTCATTCTATTGCAGGGATGGCATTTGAGACCAGGCCATCCTGCTCCCAGAGCCTGAGTTTGACCAGACACCTACCACAAGGGAGCTAGCTGGTCCTTGATGCTCCTTGTTCTCCAGTCATTTCAGTTTCAGATCAAAGCTGGCTATGGAGGGAGGCAAATGTCAGTCTTGCTACCTGGCATTGAACAGTTTTGAGAGATTTTTTTTGTATGTGTGTATATGTGGGGGTAAGGGTTTGTGCATGACATACATGTGCACCTGAGTTCATGCTTAGTGTGTGTGTAGGTGGATTTGCATGTGGAGGTCAGAGGAAAACCTTGAGTTTTCAAATGTCAATCCTTTTTAAAATTAATTAATTATTTTTGACTGTGTGGTCCTAGCTGGCCTGGAGCACACAGAGATCAGCCTAACTCTGCCTTCAAGTACTAGGGTAAAAGGAGTGCGCCACCACTCCTGCCTCAACAACCTTCTTTTGATGCAAGCTTTTCTCACTGGCCTGGAGCTCACCTAGTAGGTTAGTCTGGCTAGCAAGTGACTCCCAGAGATCCACACATCTTCACCGCCCCAGCTCTGGGATGTCAAGAAGGTGTCACTGTGCCCAACATTTTTTTCAGGTGCTGAGGGTGGAATTCAGTTCTACACTTTACCCATTGTTCTATTTTGGTCTCTGTTGCTGTGATGTAACACTCTGACATGCCAGGTGGTGGTGGCACACACCTTAACTCTCAGCACTCAGGAGGCAGAGGCAGTGGATCTCTGAGTTCCAGCCCAGCCTGGTCTCCAGAGTGAGTTCCAGGACAGCCAGGCCTACACAGAGAAACCCTGTCTCAGAAAAACAAACAAAAGAAACAACAACGACAACAAAAAGCCCCACTCTGACTAAAAGCAACTCAGGGGAGGAAAAGGTTTGTTTGGCTTACACTCCAGGTCTCAGTCTATCACTGAGGGGAGTCAGGAGAAGAACTCAAGGCAGGAGCCTGAAGGCCACCTGCTTCCCATTCCACACAACGTTACCTCCAACAAAGGAACTCATGTCAAGAAGTACAGCAGAAACTGTGGAGGACTGCTGCATGGCAGCTCATCACCAGCTCAGGCTCCGCTGGCTTTTTTATACAGCCCAGGACCCCTGCCTAGTCAGTGGTGCTGCCCACAGTGGACTGAGTCCTCCTGCAATCCATCACAGAGATGTCCACAGGCTAATCTGACCTGGACCAGCCCTCAACGGAGACTCCCTCCTCAGGTGACTCTAGGCTGCACCAAGTTGACAGAGTTAACTAACTAGGACATCAATGAGCAGTCTCTCCAGCCCTTGGGAGGATTTCCCTGCCTCTGACAATGGCTGGCACTTTTCTTCTGCATAATCAATGGCTTAGTGACAGTGGGTAAGAGAATGGGTGAGAGGCAAGGACATAGAGGTGACCATGCAACCTAAAGGTCTGTGCAACTTGTGTTAGTCCTCAGCCGCCGGGCCTGATGGGTTCCTCCTTCCTTACAGAGGCCCTTCAAGGCATCCAGATTTCGGGGCCCACCCTCCTGCAGACATTCCAAAAGTTGACTATGACCTTGAACTTCCTCGGGAGGTGAGTGAACCCCTGGAGTGCTGTATGGGTGTTCTGTGGCCTAGAATCTGGAATGTTTGATGTTGAGATACATTAGTTAATTTTTCTTTGCTATGACAAAATACCGATGAAAGCAACCTAAGGAAGGCAGAGTTTGTTTGAGCTCACAATTTGTGGTGGGGAGGCATCATAGCAGAGGGATCTTTGGACAGCTGGTCATGTGACATCCACAGTTAGGAACCAGAGAGTGATAAATGTTGGTGCTCGGCCTGCTTTCCCCTTTTTATTTAATCCTGGACTGTAACCCATTGAATGGTACCACCGCATTCAGGGTGGGTCTTCCCACCTTAATTAACCTAACCTCGAAACCCCATCACAGACATGCCCAGAGGTTTGTTTCCATGGTGATTCTAAGTCTGATTAAAGATGAACCATTACATGGACCAGGACAGCTTGGAATCCTGTATGGAGAGGACTCTGAAGTCTCTGCCCTATTCGCCATCCCTGGGCTTGGTCAGGCTCCTGCTCCTTAAGTCACTTCTGAAAATGTGTTTCTGCTGTTCTGTAGCCCACCTCTGCAGGTGTGCTGGGGCCTCAAGCCGGAATGTCTCCATGTGGAGGACAGAGAGTGCCACCCTGTGTTGGTGACCACCACATCTTTTAACGTGACCCACGTCTTCCAGGACCCTGGCGACTACTGCTTCATCTTCCGTGCTGAGAATGCCATCAGCAGGGCTCATCAGTATCATAGGATTCAGGTGTGGCCCTCCAGTAAGTGACACCTTGCCGTCTGCTGCAGTGCCATTAACAGGCATCGAAACCCTGCCACCACCTCGGTAGCTGAACCTACCCATGTCATCAAGAACTGACTCCACCAGCACTGAGGTCATGAGTAGTTCTCTTGGGTAAAGAAACAGCCCACATTTCAGTGACCAAATGCTAACCCCCCCCCCACTCTGTCAACAACATCATCACCAGACTCCACTGACAATCAATACTACCAATCTCAGCACCAACTGGAAACTCCACCATTGTTATCCTGAACACCCTGCCAACTTTAGTACCAACAACAAACTCCACCAATACCATCAATGGCACTCCATCACCTCAGCCCCACCACCAAATCTACCAACACTATCTCTGGCATTCTGTTAACTTCTACACCAACACCAAACACCAGCAGAATCATCCCTGACACTCTGCCAATGCCACCCCACTCCACTGGCCTCTAATTCACCACCAAACTCCATTAGTACCACCACCAACTCTCTACCAACACCAGTGCCACCACCAACTCCCATCATACCATCCCTAGCACTCTACCAACTTCAACACCCACTAAATATTATTCATCATACTCTACCCACCGCAGCACCACCAAATCCTGCCAACCTAGTAACACAGCCCCCATCAGCGCCACCAACACCTCCGTGAGCATCAACATCATTAAGCGGTAACAATGAAGTCAGCTCCCACATGCTCCCATGTACTCCCACTCCCTCATTGCCATCATCGTTACTGCTCCCTTTATTCTCTGGTCTCTTTCTGAACCCCGAGAACACTACCCCAGTCCAGGCCCTGGATGACCTCATGGGTCTCATTGGGGGCCCTTGGGCTCTGCTGGCTCCAACATGCTCTGGTTAGTGTCCAGAACCCCACGAATTCCATAGAGAAGATACTAGTCCAGGGTTGGGGAGATGGCTCAGTGCGTAAAATGCTTGCTGTGCAAGCTCGAGCCAAGTTCTGATCCCCAGGACCCATAAAAGCAGGATGCAGCAACCTGTGTCTGTAACCCCAGTACTAGGGGCAGGGATATAGAGACAGGAAGGTTCCTAGAGCTCCCTGGCAAGCTCTGAGTTCAGTTAAGAGACCTTATCTTTAAAAATAAGGTAGACACTGAGTGTGATGGTGCATGCCTACAATTTCAGTGTTTGGGAGGCAGAGGCAGGCTCACAACCATCTGTAACTCCAGTTCCAGGGGATCCAATGCCCTCTTCTGACCTCCACAGACACCAGACATACGTGCACATACAGGCAAAACCAACCACACACATACAGAAATAAAAAGAATCATCCTCCAGCCAAAGTGGCCGCTCAGGGGTTAAAAGTGCACACTGCTCCTGCTGAGGACCGGAGTTAGGTTCCTAGCAGCCACACGGGGAAACTCACAGCCTCTGTAATTCCAGGTCCAGGGGGATCCAATACTCTCTTCTGGCTTCTATGGGCACTGCACTAACATGCATACATACAATTAAATATTAATAAAATATCTAAAATATCTAAAAGAATTTTCTTGAACACTCTTCCATCTTAATCAATGAGGTAGGGTCTCCCAATCAAACCCAGAGCTTGCTAATATGGCCATATTAGTCTGTACCTGTTGGCTCTGGTGCTCGTTCCCTACCTTCCATGGCTGGAGCTACAGGTAAGCCACTGTGCCCTCCTGGGATTTATGTGGGTTCTGGGGATTTGAAGTCTAATCCCCATACTTGTGCAGCAAGTGGTCAATCACTGAGCCATCTCCCCAGCCCATTTTTATTAAGTCCTGGATTTTCCTATGGAATTTGTCTAGTTAGAATACATGTACATAGGAGAAGAATTTCTCCGATGGGGTTTGCCTGTGTTTGCCTTCTTTAGAGCCAGACTTTTGGGCTCAGTCAGGAAAGTGCTTGCCTTGCAAACATGGGATCAGAGCTCAGTCCCCAGAATCCATTAAAAAGCTGGACCAATGAAACCCTGGAGGTGGCCAGCCTGGGGAAGGTCTTGATCCTGTTTCAAACAAAAAGCCAAAGGAACCCGAGGAGCAACATTTGAGGTTGTCCTGATTTCCACGTGTATACACATCCGTGCACACATACACACCTGCACACATAATATATTCACACACACACACACAAAAGCCAATATATCTTTAAAACATTTATGTATTTACTTATTGTGTATGCTTCTTCCTTTCTTATTTTCTTTCTCTCTCTTTCTTTTTGTGTTGTTTTCTGAGACAGGGTTTTTCTGTGTAGCCCCGGCTGTCCTGGAACTCACTCTGTAGACCATGCTGGCCTCAGATTCAGAGACCCACCTGCCTCTGCCTCCTCCTTTAGTGCTGGGACTAAAGGCATGCGCCACCACTGCTCGGCTGTTGTGTGTGCTTGTACATGTGTGTCAGGACACACATGTAGAGGACAGGGGACAGCCCTGAGGAGCCAGTTATCTCCTTCTTCCACCGTGTTCATGCCTGGCATGGAACTCAGGCCATCAGGCGTGGCAGTACCTGCCTTTGCCCTCGAAGCAGCATTTCGACACCAGCTATACAGTCCTCTAATCTTCCTCTCTCCCTCCCAGCCTTCCAGCCATTTGTCTTTGCTTTCCCATGCGCCACGCTGATCACCGTGCTGCTGGTTTTCATCATGTACATGACTGTGCGGAGTGCTACTCAACAGAAGGACATAGTGGAGGTAGGTGCTCCGGAGGATGGAGGCTAAACCACTGATCTGGGCATGGTGCCTGGAGGGAGTTCTGCTAAACCCTGATGCTTGGGATGATGCACCAAAGAGACACGGGTAGACTTGCCGAGCTAGCTGGTACCCCATCTGATCGTCTCCTCTCTGCTAAGCTCTCAAGCCCACTGAATGGGCTGGTGGGGGAGGTTCCTGGGGGCGGTGAGTGACCCATGGGTTTTATTCACCATAAGTGACTGACTTTGACTTTTCCCCCTTGTCTGACAAGAGCCCGGAGGTCACTGGGCTCAAGTGCTGCTGCCAGTTGTGCTGTGGCTCCCTGTTTCTGGACTCACCATCCGAGTACCTGGAAATCGTCCGGGAGAACCATGGGCTGCTGCCACCCCTTTACAAACCTGTGAAAACTTACAACGTGTGAACTCCCCACCTTGTACCTCTCTGTGTTCACTGATCACCCATTGGGAGCTTCGGGCAGGGTGGCATATGCTACTGAGCAGGAGGGGTTTACATGGGTGTGGCCATTTGCCCAGCCCGGCCACTGATCTGTACAGTCCAGATGCTGTCATGCGTCCTTTGTGTCCCCTCCCAGCTGTCATCCCCTCATCTGTGAACTCTAGTCACTGCTCTGCGCCTTCCCCTGTTCCCCCCCTCTCCTGAGCAGGGTTCTGATATTTAGTGTGTTCTGTTAAGACTCTTCCAAGTGGACCTGGCTGCCTCTTCCTTGTTGCTTTCACGCTAGCACGGCTGTTGCTCCCTGGTGACGCGCAGCTCTGCTGGAACCAGAGAGAACTAGGAAGGAGGTCACAGATGGTTAAGGCTGCATAGTGAAAGGTAGCACACACTCAGACGGGCACGCTGACGGCAAGGAAGGATACACACGGAAGTGAGGGCACATCATCTGCTGGGTGTCTCCAAGGCTTGCTGCCGGGGTGAGTCTGAACCAAAACTCAAATGCAGTGCCTGAGCCTGGCCCTCTGTCCTTTGTCTCTCTGCAGCTCCGTTACCAGGCCATTCTGTCCCCTGCCTGCTTGCTGAGAGCTGGGTAGTGGTGTGGGCAGAATAAACACCAATGAGTGTAGAATGCTCTATACACTGACCCTCTTCTGAGGAAACCCGTAAGAAGGGGTCCACTGGGAAAAAGAGTTGGAGCAAAAAGAAAGGTTGGGCTAGTGAGGACTTGGTACCTCTCCCTCTCCCTCCTTTTCCTCTCCCCCTCCCCCACTCTGTGTTTGTATGTGAGATACCTTACCCATTCGGTTGCTCTCAAGGTAGCAGAAGGAAGAATCAGAAGGCAAAAGGTACCTTGAAAGATTTTAAGTAAAAGTCTGATGTGGTGGTGCACACCTTTAATCCCAGCACGGGGGAGGCAGAGGCAGGCGGATCTCTGAGCAGAATTTGAGGTCAGCCTGGTCTACATAGTGAGTTCCAGGACATCCAGAGCCACATAGGAGTCCCTGTCTCATAAAAAGAAAGAAGAAAGAAAGAAAGGAAAGAACTAAGGATGGTAAGTAGGTACAGATATAAGCATCCAGGCTTACCTGCATGCCTGACACACTAGGACAACCTGCACCTGCTGGATGGATAGGCACAAGCGCACACATCCAGCTGTGCCAGGGCAGCCTGCACCTGGTGGATAAGGACAGACAAGACTTACAGTCGCTCCCTGTCACTGTAACTGTTGGTTAACCCTTGGACATCCTGCTGAAACAGTGTTGTCTCTTGTACCCCTCATTCCCATGACATCCTGCCATCATTCCTGAATAAAAGCTTCGTCAAGCACACTTGGTGACAGAGTACTCTTGTTCCCTGAGTGTCAGTGAAGCTTTGTAAGTGATGCTGGAAGCAGCGAGCTATCTCTCAGGCATCTTGCGATGACGAGGACTGACCTCAATGCAATGACCTATCTGTGTTAGTGCCATTCCTTGTTGCCATTAGAACACCTGGCCAAGGTGACTTGAGGAGGGCTTTGTTTTGGCTCGTGGTGTGCCAAGGCAAACAGCTGTCATGGCAGGGAAGGCGTGGCAGCAGGAACATGGGGTAAACAAAGCCACTGCTACTTTTTAAAATTTACTCCGTGCATCCATGGAATTGTGTCCACATTCAGAGAGGGTCTTTTCTCCTTGTTAAATCTCTCTGAGAATGCCCTCACAGGCTTGCCCAAAGGTCTCTTTCTTAGATACTTCTAAATTCCATCAAAGGGACAGTGAAGATTAACCATTACAGGCCCTGAGGAGAGAGCTGAGCTGGGAAAAGTGCTTTCCTTAACACCCTGAGTTGATTCCCAGGGCCATGTTTAAAAAACAAAAATAAAACAGCACAACAACAAAAACAAAAAACAGGCACAGCGGTAGCCAGGCAGTGGTGGCGCACGCCTTTAATCCCAGAACTCGGGAGGTAGAGGCACGAGGATCGCTGTGAGTTCCAGGCCAGCCTGGTCTACAAAGTGAGTTCTAGGACAGCTAAGGCTGTTACACCACAGAGAAACCCTGTCTCATAAACCGAAAGAAAGAGAGAAAGAGAGAGGGAGGGGGGAGAAAGAAGGAAAGCCAGCAAGCAAGTAAACAAGAAAGCAAGCAAGCAGGCAAGCAAGCATGGTGGCCTGTGCTTGTAACCCTAGTGCTGCGGAGGCGGAAACAGGTCCTTGGGACTCTCATTGGCTGGTTGTCCTAGCCGAATCAGCAGCTCCAGGTTAGTGAGAAATGGTGTCTCAAGAAACGCAAGGTGGAGAGCTATTGGAAATGAGACCTGAGGTTGCCCTTTAGCCTAACATTTAACCACACATATGTGCACATTTACTCACATAGGCAAGCGTGCACATACCTATTCGTACAGAGAAACTTACTAGAATTTTTAATATAATTGCTTTCCTTTGCAGTATGACTTTATTATGCTTTTGAAAAACAGCTCTTTGAACTGTCACTTAGAAAGGCCCCTGGGTCTGTAGGGTATGGTGGAGGACACTATTTTCTGCTGGGGATGGGGATGGGGTGAGGGGGCAGAGGATCCAGGAGAGAAGGTGCCAGACCTCATAGGCTGTCTTCCTACAGTTCCCAATGTTTCCAGCAGGTGGCAGTGCCCACTAGGTCACATGTCCTATCTGTCTGTTTCCTTTGCCTGGCCTTGTCCAAGTCCAAGAGGCAAGAGGGGGCACAGACTCCCAAGGCACCCCCACAGCTGCATCACCTGCCTGAAGACCTAGCAAAACGCTACACATGCAAGCATGCTCACACTCCCATTCCCATAGGCGAGTGGCAATCTGCTTCTAGATCATTCAGCCCCTTCCAGGACAGACCCGTTTGGGATCTCTAGCACCCTTGTAACGGTACAGGCCTGGCTGCACACAACGCACCTATAACCCAAGTACTGTGGGGGTGGAAACAGGGAGATGGCTGCCAGCCAGGTTCAGTGACAGGCCTGTCTCAGAAAAATAAGGCAGGGACATAGCAGGACTGCTGTGGAATAACGCTCTTGCACACAGCGGCAGAGAGCCGTGTTGAGGTTTGTAGCCTGTACTGCTACCAGAGGCCATGCTGAGGTCCATGGCACATGATGATGCTGGAGACCGTGTGGATGTCCGTGGTCCATGCTATCTCCATGTGTAAGCCCGTGATCCATGCTCCCTCTAGCTGTAAAGGGCAAGGAAGCACGTTGCCATGGTATCGATGACTGCAGACCCACAGCTGAGAAAGAGGGACGTAGGAGGCTTCTGTGACAAACCGCTATCTCCACCTCACCCCACCCTCCAAAACAAGTTAACAGCCTAGACGGGAAGCCATTGAAGGGAACTCTTAAAAACTGTGATAAGGCTGCTCCTCACACAGTTGATGGCTTCTGGTGGGGGTGCAGACGGGAAAGGGCTCAGTTTCCTTTAAGGGGCTGGCATCAGGAGTTTTCCCATGCTCCAGTGAGTATATGGGCAACACAAATTGGACTTGGTTTTTTTCCTCTTTTTTTTTTTTTTGGTGGGGGGTAGGTCACAAGGGGGAAGACTGGGAAGTGTGTTTGGAGCTCATGATGTGAAGTTCCCAAATAACAGAAATATTATGAATTAAAAAAGAAAATGCCATATGGGCATGTCTGCGGTCTGATCTTATGGAGGTATTTTCTCAGTTGTGGCTGCCTCCTCTTTGGTGATTCTAACTATGTCAAATAAACATAAAACTAGCCAGCACACTTTCCATTGAAATGACTCCCAATATTTGTCTCCAGCTCAAACAATACCCTGAGCCCATGATGAGGCTATCTACGTTTGGTTCACCCTTTGAGTTCTAAACTTCTCACATTTGATTCCAGTCTATGCCAAGCTTGTCCTCTAAACCGGAACCTTCTGCATAATCCAAACCTCTCACCACCTGGTTCAGCCATGAAATCCCAGTGCAATTCCAGCAATGGACACCAGAGGGTGCTACAAGCTTTGCAAGAAGTCACAGAAGGCTAGACAGGCAGAGGGTGAACTTCCTTGAGTATTTATTTGGTTCTTGAGCCATAGCCTAGTTTATCTGCAGCCATGTAGTTTCCCAAACTACTGATCAGCTCATCCCCACTCAGATCCCCATCGATTCCCAGGATTTTCAGCACTAATCTAAATTCCCAGGATCCAACGGTAAGTCACGATTTCTTTGGCTGAGTTTTGGAGACTCCAGTCCAGTTTGCTTTGGGTCTCACGGTGAGAAATGCATGGCAGAGTAAATGGCTCTTGCCATGACTAGAAAGCAGAAGAGAAAGACATGGAGTGCCTCCATCCCTCTTGAGAGCTTGCTCCAATAACCCAAGTCCCCCTCCCCCGCCTCCCACTGGGTTCCTCTTCCTGTCACCTTCATCCTTTCCCAATAGCCTCACTCTGGGAATTAAAGTTGCTTCTTTAACTAGTGGGTCTTGGGACAGCGAGGTGACTCAGTTGGCAGTGATTGCCTGGTATGCACGCTCCCCAGCACCCTGTAAACCAGGCATGGTGGAGCACATCCGTAATCCCCCGGGATGTGGAGGCAGGATTAAGAGTTCAAGGTCATCCTCAGTGACATAGTGAGTTTGATTACAGCTTGGGCTACGTGAGACCCTGTATCAAAAAGCAGACTAGGGTTGGAGAGATGGCTCAGTGATTAAAGCCCTTGCCTGGAGGGTGTGAGGTCCAGCTTTAATACAGATGAAAGGAATGCCTCAGGACAGATGAACTAGCCAGAGAGAGCATGGGCAAGCAGGCAGAAAACAAAACTTCCATCTTCCATGGCCTTTAATCCCACTGCACCAGAAGCTGTGGACTGCATTCAGGGTGGGTCTTTCTGCTCCAGATAATTTGATCCAGTGCTCAGCAGCCAGCCAAGAAACAAGAAGAAACGCCACTAACTTCTTGTTCCCAAGCACATTTCCCAACCTTTCTTATAGTCTACCTTGGGGGGGGGGATGGGACCTCCCACCATGGGCTGGACCTTCCCATATCAATTAGCAATTACGACAGTTACACCCAGAGGCTAATCTGATCAAGACGGTACCCACCCCCAACTGAGTGAGACTCCCTCAGATAACTGTTGGTCTGTGTCAAGTTGACAGCTGACCATTAACCAGGAGAGATGGCAAAAGCTGAGGCCACTCTGGCTTTGTTCACTGTTGCATCCTGAGTATGGGAATCAGGAAGATTTCCTGAAGGGGCAAGTGGTGAACTCTGACACCAAATGTTGTGATTTGTACGATGCTTACCTTAGATGTTGGGTGACCCTTGAGACCCACATTATTTTTTTTGCTTTTTAAAAAATTTTCTTTTTTTTCCATTTTCATGTGTGCTTATATATATGCATGTTTTTGCATGTGTGTGGTCAAGCATGTGAAGGCCTAAGACTGATGTCCAGAATCATCCTCCACCATACTTCCATTGCTGTGCCCAGATTCTGAACCCCCAAATCACCAAGAGGCTCATTTTGATGCAAAATCAAACAGTCTTTTATTGTAGTTGTTTAGCGAGCTAACCCCATTAGCTCAGGCCCTTTGTCCATCCACCACAGCAGATGGTTGGAGAAAGACCCCCAGAAACCATGAGGCAGGGATCTTATAGGGCAGCATAAGGGGAGTAGCTAGGGTATGCAACAGTCTCAGGATTGGGTCGTTTCACCTGTGTTGATTGGGCAACTGGTTGTTATGGTCAATAGGCCCTCCTGTAGTGATCAGTCTTCCATTTTAGCAGCCATTACAGACTAACATGTGCTTGCATGACCTTGCCGCTCCTGTCCTGGTCACTAAGGTCAGATGCCCTCCTCGTGGCAAGGGACCAATCAGAAGTTAGCTGCCGGGGCCATGCTTTACGGCTCTGGGTGTGCTTTACAGACAGTGTACAACAGTGACATGTAGAACATAGCAACCGCCCTGGAAGGGCCTATGGGCCATAACAACCAGTTGACCAATCAACACAGGGTAGGTCACTCAAACCTGGAAGTGCACCAATCCGGAGACTGTTTCATACCCCTACACTCCCCTTACGCTGCCCCTTAAGATCCCTGCCTCGAGGTTGCTTGGGGTCTTTCTCCAGCCATCCGCCATGGTGGTGGGATGAAGGGCCCGAGCTAATGGGGTTAGCTCGTTAAGCCTCTACAATAAAGACTCTTTGCTTTTGCACCGAAATGGGCCTCTTGGTGATTTTGGGGTTCAGAATTTGGGCACAACACTCCCAGGGTGGTTGCTATGCTCTGTATGTCACTGTTGTACACTTGTCCCTAAAGCCTGCCTGGCCAGCTAACTTCTGGTTGGCTCCTTGCCACGAGGAGGGCATCTGACCTTAGTGACCAGGACAGGA